GAAAATGACTTAGATTTCCACAAAAAAAAAAACAATTTGCAATACTTAAAGTAGGCTGCGAGGCCGTATCTCGCCGAATCGGGCCCATGTTATTCCATTAGAAGCAGTCATTTTGGCCGACCCTATACCTCCGGCAAAACCAACTCACTTGTCTTTTAAAAGATTCTAGGTCATAGAGGATCACACTGACCAATAATAGAACAAATAGAGTCTAGTGTAGTAGCCGAACAAAGCCACCGCATGGAAACCATGCGATTTTACTAGGAAGTCACGATACTCTTCACTGACCAGAAGAGGTCTAGGATAACCGCCTCCCATTATGGGATACGCCCCCTCCCACTTAAAGACCGGGGTCCCATGCCCCCACCTTAACCCCACTACCCTTCACCAGCAAATCAAAGCCCCACAGTTTGACACCCACCCCTTTGAAGCTAATACATAACAAACTAAGCTTTTTTTTCACGCCCCCCCATGTTTTTCAGGCATGGCACCGAAGTACATTACGATTGGCTCGACAACTCCGGCACAGTCAGAGCCCACACAGACATTAGCGATCACGCCCACATAACAAAAACAAAAGAAACAAAACATTAATACATACTCACATCAAAATGTAAAGAATAACCTCAAAAAAGGGCAAAATTCAACTTGTCTTACAGAGCGCCCGCATGGCTCCACTTGGGATCGCCCTCTATCCTTTGTTTTCTGTGCCCGCCATGGAATTCCAATGAATTCAAGTTAAGGGGATCCATGAAAACCCAAAAAATACTCTATAATCATAGATAACAATAAACCAAGCAATACACGAAGCCAAATATAGGAAGAAAAAAAGGTAAACAAAATAGACTGCAGGTCAGGAAAAAAAGGGGGCGTTCCCCAGATGGTAGTGAAATCCAATAGATCTCGCATAAAAAAAAAACTAAAAAACTAACAAGACTCCGCCCATCCCATCCCGACCCCCCCAACCCCTCCCCCCAACCTCCCCCCCCCCTACTCTCCCAACCCATTTTCCTTAGCGCGATTCATTATTTTATTTACTTTTTTTAGACAGCGTTTGAGCTATCACAATGATTAGGCTGTGGAGTGCACCATAGGGACACGTTCGTATCACGACGCTGAGACTAGAGGTGAAACAACTAGATCCCCTTTCTTGTCCCTCACTTCTCTCTAGCCCAGAACTACGGCGTTTTATCTCTAGGAATGTCGTCCCTTGCTTCCGCCCGAAGCACGTACTATCCGCAAAGCGTGAATCAAGTTCTGAACTGTAAATTTCTCATTTATATGTTCACTTATCAACAAAAATCTTTATTTTTTTTAAAACATGGCAATTTTTTTAGAGTAAATTTTTTGTTACTCTATAAGCTACACTTCCAAGTGCCTTCACTAATGAATCTTCTTGTATCTCCATCAACGAACCCATGCAGAATAGTTTAGGAAATTTATCATTGTGCTTCTCACATCCTGCAATAATCTGTGGATGCTTTTTAACTTCATCTGGTGAATATAGTCGTGTATGCAACTGTCAAATCTGTGGAAGTCCTCAATCTTGTACTGCGACTACTTGCTCATTAGTCGGTTATTTATTTTTAAGTTTATTATCCCCTGGGCATCAGCATCAGAAAAGCTAAGCGAACATTTTTAATTTCTTATATCTTACTTCAAAAAAACATGTGCTCCCTATGATAATTGCGCGCGCTTCGCAAGCCGCTTTGCTGTCAATCCGCTTCCCACACGCTGTTGCCGTCTCGAGAGTAACCTCGCATCAAGGGATCCCTGAGTGATTTATCGCAGACCAACCTGTTGTCAACGATAGCGCTGAGTTGCTCTGAAATCTCTCCCGTCTCCTACTCTCATAAAAATACCATAAACTCAAACATTTCTATAATGTCCCACGCCATAACTCAGGAGCGCCTATCAGTCGCCGGAAGGAGACGAATTAGCCTCTCATAGCCAACCCCAGGAGGCTGGAACTATACGCCGACGCTCCTCGTCTTCGTGGAGCCCAGAGCATCGCGCCATTGCCCCCTCCAGCCTGACCGCGCCCAGGATTCAATACAAGCAAGGCCGGAACTCTTTTTTCTCCCCTGCTATCGTTTCCAAAAAAAAAAAAAAAATAAAAACAAAAAAAAAAAAAAAAAAAAAAAAAAAAATATTGTCCACCATTTCACATCCATGAGCCTTTCTTATTAGGACGAGAATGGCTTAACACTTTGCAAACAATCAACCCAACTTGGTAGGTAGAAGAAAAAACATTTCAGGCTGCCATGACCAGTACGGCTTACATAGGAGTAAGCCTTCTCATTCTTCGTTCATAAACCGAGATCTGCTCTACACCATCCCTCTCATTTCAGGGCTATATCAGTATTATCAAATCTTTATTGAGTGGTGTAGTGTACTTTCTAGCATCAATAGAGCAACTAGTCTGTGTATTTGAATTTGTATTAATACTACGTTCTTACTTACTTAAACATAAAAATATACTCTCCCCCTCTTTTTAATTAACATCCAACATAAACCCAAACTTAGTAGTCACTGACCCATAGCACAGTGGCATTCATGTCCCTGTACCATCCCAAGCACTTTGCGGAGTGGCCTTACATTGGTCCATGCGCCCAGCTTGGATCCTCCTTCTTGAGACCCCTTCATTTGTCAGGAATTCAAGACCAGCACCTTGCACCAACCAAGCGTGTACTGCCCTCGAGAGATCCACGTCTAGCTAACTTAAGAAATTAACACAAAATTATTCTAGAATTTAGTGGCTCTAGGATCATCTACTCGGTGCGCAGGCACGCTCCGTAGATACCAGATAAAATCTGTCTAGGAGAGCTCCTAAACGGAGAATAGCCTTGAACCAGGGAGCGCAAGCATGGTTGCTTTATGTGATTTGAGGCCGGAGATCGCCACCCTATTCGATCTCGTGCCTCAACTCACCAGCATATTGGGTTAGCAAAATGCATGCGAGCGCAAAACTAAGCCTGCCTATAAAAACGAACAAAAAAAAAAAAACACAAAACAACACCAAAAAAAGTTGTTTACCTGTGATTCCTTATGCTGCTTTTAAGTTAAAAAACATAAAAAAAAAAAAAAAAAAATTAAAAAACATTGATTTTTTCCAAAAGTCTAGTCGCTGATAATCTGGTAAGGCGTATAGACTTTTAGGCAGGCACAAAACAATACTTAAAAAATTCAAAACCCCATGGTTCTGCACACTCCATAGCCTACGTTTAACGAAAAGACATACCGAACGCCGCCTATCAGCTTCCCTTTTTTTTTTTAATTTTTTTTGGTTTTTTTTTTTTTTTTTTTTACCTTTTTCTTCTTATATTAGACCATGACGCTGCGTCTCCTGCACTTCAATTCTACCTCCTTGACCTAGAGCTGATCACCACACGGTTTGAACGCTATCGGCGATCCTCCACAAAGCTGCTTACCGGGCTCACTTTACAGGACAGGAGCGAAACTGCTAAGCTATGGCCTTGTTCTTTTTTTTTTTTTTTTTTTTTTTTTTTAAATAGAAGACAGGTTAGGCGTCTTTCTACATGTCGTCCAGCGCAGAGATCAAAAGCCTAGTATTGTAAACCCCAAAAGCTACCTAGGCTCACAACTCGGATCCTAACTGGACCTCAGCCTCCCAAACAGCTAGGCAGTGCTACAGAGAGTATGCACACTACCGACCTAATTACGGGCCTCGACTCACAACTTTTTGTTTCCCTTTCAATTCTTTATCATATTTTTCATTTAGTTTTGAGACAAGAGTCTGCCCACTTTGCTTATGATCACCAGGCTGGGACTCGTTGGTGCCTTAAGACTCCGACACTGTCTATTCATCTATCAAGGGGTTTTCAGTTATAACTCATCGAAACCATTGCCCAGTTGTTTCTCCCTCGACAGCGTGTTTTACTTTCTTTTTTTTCAAAGTAGAATTAGTAGTAGATTCCCCCAGTATTTGCCCAACCTCAGCAACTCAGCCCTTGCACCTGAATAGTTAGCCCTGTGCAAGGCGGCAGTACTATAATAAAATGAGACGAAACGGTAGGGCTTTGACAACAAAAAATTTAGAACCTCCCCCAGCTAATTTTTTTTTTTGGTGTATAATATGTCGATAAGAGACCCAGAGAAACCCCTGATAGGTTTTTCACATAATACAGTAGTACCAGGATAGTGAGAGAGTATGTATTTGTTCTCCCTCAAATTCCCTAAACAACCTAGAGAAAGTG